CGCGAACGCGAGACCCACATTTTGGAAACGTCCCGCCTTCAATCCGTGACATTCTTGCAGATGTTCGAAGGAATGTGCGCGGCCTTAAGGCGAGAGCAACACTTTGAGTTCGACCCGCCCCCAATTCGTGAAACGCTTGAGATTTCAAACGAACGTGCGCGGCGCTAAAGCGAGAGCCATATTTTGAAAGCCACACGCCCTCCATCTGCGAAGCTGTTGCAATTTTGTAAGTTCCAGGGCCAGAACTGGTGATCTAAAGCGAACCGCCTGGCCCGCCCTACAAGCTGGCATCGGGGTGCGACAGGTACAAACTGCTTATAATGAAGAGGTATGGAGGAGGATGAGGAGGCAGAGGAGGAGGAGGACGAGGAGGAGGAAGAGGAGGAGGTGGAGGAAGAGGAGGATGAGCAGGAAGAAGAGGAGGATAAAGAGGAAGAGGATGAGGAGGAGGAAGAGGATGAGGAGGAAAAGGTGGAACAGGAGGGGAAGGAGGAGCATGAGGAGGAGGCGGAGGGGGAGGAGGGGAAGGATGAGGAGCAGGAGGAGGAGGAGGAGGACGAGGAGGAACAAGAGGAGGAAAAAAGAGGAGGAGGGGGGAGGAGCAGGAGGAGGAGGAGGAGGACGAGGAGGAGGAGGAGGAGGATGAGGATGAGGAGGAGGAGGAGGATGAGGTGGAGGCGGAGGCGGACGTGGAGGCGGAAGCGGAGGCGGAGGTGGAGGCGGAAGCGAAGGCGGAGGCGGAGGCGGAGGCGGAAGCGCGGAGGCGGAGGCGGAGGCGGAGGCGGAGGAGGAGGCAGAGGCGGAGGCGGAGGCGAAGGCGGAGTCGGAGCAGGCGGAGGCGGATGCGGAATCGGAGGCGGAGGCGGGGGCGGGGGAGGAGGAGGAGGAGGAGGAGGATGCGGAGGAGGAGGAGGAGGAGGAGGAGGAGGAGGAGGAGGGGGAGGGAGAACAGCATGAAGAGGAAAAGGAAGAGGAGGGGGATGATGATGAGGAGGATGAGGAGGATGAGGAGGAGGAGGAGCAGGAGGAGGAGGAGGAGGATGAGGAGGAGGAGGAAAGGAGGAGGAGGAGGAGGAGGAGGAGGAGGTGGAGGAGGAGGAGGGGGGGGGGAGGAAAATGAGGAGGAGGAGGAGGAGGAGGAGAAAGAACAGCAGGATGAGCAGGAGGAGGATGAGGAGGAGGGGGGAGGAGGATGAGGGGGATGATGAGGAGGAGGAAGAAGAAGAGGAATACGAACAGGAAGAAGAAGAGGAAGAAGAAGAGGAGGATGAGTAGGCGTAGGAGTAGGAGTACGAGAAGACGGATGATGATGATGAGGAGGAGGAGGAGAACGGTGATGGTGATGATGATGGTGATATTGATGATGATGATGATGATGATGATGATGATGATGATGATGATGATGATGATGATGATGATGATGACGATATGCATAATGATGATGCTGCTGATGATGCTGATACTGAATCTGATGCTGATGATGAGGAGGATTACGATGATGATGAGGAGGAGGAAGAGGAGGAGGAGGAGGAGGGGGAGCTGGATGATGAGGAGGAGGATTGAGAGGATGATACTGCTGATTATGATGATGATTCTGATGATGATTCTGATGATGATACTGATTATGGTGATTCTGATGAGTATGATGATGATGTTGATGGCGATGCTGCTGATGATGATGCTGCTGATGCTGCTGCTGATGATGATGATGCTGCTGATGATGATGCTACTGATGATGATGATGCTGATGATGATGCTGCTGCAGGTTATGATGATGCTGATGATGATGATGATGATGATGATGATGAGAATGATGATGATTATGATGCTGATGCTATTGATGATGATGCTGCTGCTGATAATGCTGATGCTGATGATGCTGATGATGATGCTGATGATGATGACGATGGCGATGATGATGATGCTGATGCTGATGATGATGAGGATGAGGCTGATGATGCTGATGCTGCTGCGGGTGATGATGATGCCGCTGTTGATGATGATGCTGATGCTGCTGCTGCTGATGAGGATGACTGTGGTGGTGTTGATGATGATGCCGATGACGAACACGATGATGATGACGACTCCGATGCTGATGATGATGATGATGATGATGATGATGATGAGGGTGATGATGCTGATGATGATGCTGATGCTGATGATGATGTTGATGATGGTGCTGATGATGATGATGATGCTGATGATGATGATGAGGATGATGATGAGGATGAGGATGATGATGCTGATGCCGCTGCTGATGACGACGATGATGCTGATGCTGACGACGATGATGATGACCATGGCGATGACGATGACGATGATGATGATGATGATGACGCTGATGATGATGATGATGATGATGATGATGCTGCTGATGATGCTGCTGCTGATGATGATGATGATGATGATGCTGATGCTGATTCTGATGATGACGCCGATGATGCTGATGATGCTGCTGATGCTGATGCTGATGCTGATGCTGCTGATGCTGCTGCTGATG